TATTTGGTGTTAACATAGCCAAGGCAGAAAAAAAAGTCACATTGCTTGTCTGGCATGGCTTGTTTAGGACGTTTGTGAAGAAAGTTTATATCCTGTCTCCTAAAATACAGGAGAGGAGGCTGAAACTGTATGGCAAGTTACACCAGCACAACCTTCTTAACAGAAATTGAGTTGTGGGGGGCTATCTCAGGTTCTGACTTTTAGGAATCTAAACAGCTGGTGGAAATTATTTGTTCCAAAGACAATCCCAAGCAGGCTTGGGTCTAGACTTGCTTTTCAGCTACCCACCCCTTTATATCCCAAATCCAATCAGACTGAAAACAATGTATTGTATCTAGAGTGTCTAAAAGTAAAAGTCATTGGGTTAAAACTACTGAGTCAACTCCTTCACTGGTGAAAATGCACACAGTCATTTGCTTCAGCATCATCATTTTATATCACATAAAATGTCACTTTAAGTCGCTTTGGCTTTGTATTGTGTCTTGGATATTCCTTTGACTTGCACTGGTGCATATCAGCAGTAACGCAGTACAACAGCACGAGACTGAACTTGTGATCCTGACCCGACAGTTGTTATGCAGGTATCTTTGTGAGAACATGTTTGACTGAATTTACAAATCATTTGGAGGTCACGTGTTGTAGGTTGAGAACGCAGCTCTAAAATTTGGAAATACTTATTCCGTCAGTTACTTCAAAACATCGGTAGAGGCAGCAATGCAGAGCAAATATTTCCCTCTGGTCTTTGTAGAAGCCAGGCAGTAAAGTACTGCAAACAGGAACCCTAATCATTCCCACAGCAGAGGTTCTCCATCAGTTAGAACTACATGTTTGTTTGTTTGCTTGCTTTTTAAATTGTTTCCCTTGAAAGGCAATGGTTTAAATTAAGGAAAAAAAATGTTTATAAAACTTAAAAACAAGGTTCAAGAAGCTCTGCATTTAAAACAAGTTCTAAGGGTTTTAAAAATTCATAATCACAATGGGGTTTTCGCACTCCTAATTATGAATGTTTAGATTTTGGTGTTCATTTCCTCTGATTGAAATACTGCAGGATGAATTATTCATCCAGTATATACAGGCTTGTGGAACTTAATCCCCTCCATTTATTTTAAGTGAATGTCGTGTTTGTAAAAAGTGCCAGATTGACAGACAAGATTCAACCCTCCTGATAACCTACACATTGTATCTAAAGCTGTTTAGAAGCAAAAACCATTGTGGTTAAAATTATTGTACCAAGTCCTTCACTGATGAAAGTCAGAGATGAATTTATTTATTTATTTATTTATTTTAGTAGCACAGTTTTAAGTCATGCAAGGTGAGGTTTTCTCCAGCCCCTCAGTTTTACATTTGGACTAGAATAGGCCTCTGTCTGCTTTGCCAGGAGAGCTCAAACATCTGCTGGAGCAGAACCATGCTCTGTGCCGGGCCAGTCCTTACCCACCCCAGTGCTGCCTGTTTTCTCGAGACATTGATTGGCATTCATATCTTCATGTCTTCGAGCAGTAAAGCTTTGTAACCCTGGAAATAAAATGAGAGTGATTCATTTATTCAGTGAGGCAGAGACAATAGCTTTCAAGTGTTGGTGGCCTCTGGCAGGTCACAACTAGAGGTCCCTACACAAGTGTCTCCATGTTTTGGCCTCTGTTTTTAGGGCAAGATCTTCCTCAGATTCCAAACAGTTAGATGCCATGAAAACATCAGTTATCACAGCTGTGATTTAAGAAAAGCATGCCCCTCAGCATGGGGTTTGGCAGGGCACAGCCCAGGGACCCTTCCCAGCAGGCTGTGTGTACAAGACCTTCCTGTTTTAGGCAGAAGGAAAGTGAACTGTAGAGACAGGTATTGTGTGACACAACTCTGACCAGAGAGTTGGCGCTGGTCTATTTTATTTACACATGTAGACATAGTCACCATCTTTCTTTCTCTCTCTCTCTCTCTCTCTCTCTCTCTCTCTCTCTCTCTCCATATATATATATATATTTGTTTGGATATTTGTCTGGAGGCAGTTTAGGGTTGGATGTAACAGGAATTCATTTTTTGAGGACAAAAAGTTGCCTTTCTCACTGACGGCACTACCCATACACACTTGGCCTGTGATAGCAGCGTACGTAGAGATGCTTGGCAAAGCGATTGCATCAAGTGCTATTTCAACTCGGCATAAGTCAGCACTGCACACAGCTTTGAAGGATGCAGTCATAGCCTAAGCACTTATTTTTCCTCTGATGAGGTGCTGTTAGAGCATCTGCCTTTTCTAAAGAGTTTTAGGAGGAAGCGCCAGTGTTTGGAGAACATCCTATAGCACAGCAGTCTGTATAGCATATGGGAAGCATTTCTCTTCTCCATGGCAAATGGGGAGCCTGACTTTTCCCAGAGCCACCTGTGATAGAGGAGAGCAGCCACAATGCAGGAAGCTGGAGGGACATGTGACTTCTCTGTATCCTAGGAGGAATTCTTGCAAAGGCACAACCAAAGGACATGACCATTTGTGCTGAGGAATCCTACTTAAATCAGGGCTTTCATCCTTGAGCCCACTGCTTGGCACCAACCTGCTTGGAAGTGGGCAAGCCTGGAGGAGCAGGGTGGCATTACAGAGTCCAGACAACCTCTTCTGAGACTCAGGGGCTGGAGGTTTGGCTGTCCTGTGCTGCTGCACTGGCTATGAGACTCCCCAGGGACTTGCCCCAGGTCTTTTTCCAGCCCTCTGTCAGGGTTTCTGTACTTCTCCCTGCAGTATCGCTTTAGGTTGTGGGTCTTGATATCCCAGTGCTACAACCCACCTCTAATGGCTCCTGTGAAAAGTTTTTTGTTGCTGTCAGAAAAACTAGAGAGGTGCTCTTTTCTTGTTTCATATGCTGCTGAAAAGCATTTGCACAATAGAAGGGTCAGGGAGCTTAGAGAACAGCCGCTATATAGGACCTGTTGTACTTTTTACTTTCTGGTAAATTCAGTGAAATAATTTTCCACATGATTTAAGAAGTGTACTAATTTACAGTGCAATTATTTGAGGGTTTGTATTAATTAGTATTGTTGCAAACACTGATATTTAGAACCAAGGCTAAAGTGTAATTCTGAGACACAGTAGGGGATGTGTAATTGGAGTTGAAGGTCAGGTCACATATTTGGATTTTCAAAAGAATAAGGCAAGTTCAGCCTCAACAAAGTGTTTATGGATTTGGAATGACAATTATGTTGCTGCTGCTGCAGCTGTATGTTTTGTACTAATTAATATCCCTATTTGAAGCTTATGGCTGAAATCCCCTCACTGTCTCCTGCTGTTTTAGATTGGTGTACACATTTATATGGACTCCAGCAGCATTACTGCTTGTTTTCCCAAGTGGCAATGAGAGGACAGTCCAGCCAGTGGAACTGAGTTACACTGGTAGGAAAAACAAACCTGAAACTAGGCCAGCATTGTTTATGGAGATAAATACTGGAAATTTAGGCAGGTGCAATCTAGACATTGATAAGCGAAACGTTAACATTGAACGAAGTTTTAGCAGGAACAAAAGTCTGTTTAATTTCTCAACTCTGCACTGTCCGGGTTATGTCCAGTTTTACCAGGTGATTAAATCTCTGCAAAATTGGCAGACATGACATGATTTACTGAATTGATACTTGCTCTTTCATATCCAGATAGAAAATCTTTCAGGGAAAAAGATACCACCAGAAATCCTAAAACATAAACAGTACACAAATCAAAACCTAAGTAAGATAAATGATCCTGTTTTGTTCCTTTTCTGCTGAAGAAACATTTATAGGGTGTGAAATAAACCACTGATATATATATTTTTTAAATTTAAATAAGGAGTCATTCATTGTGAAATCCTACCCTGGTAGACTGAAGGACTCTCCCTTCTTTATTTAAATAGAAACCCTTCTCCCTAGCCTAGGGAGGACCTAGGAAAATAGCTTGCAGGAAAGGACCCAGCCCTGTAATTGCTTTGTGCACAGAAGCCTTATTGAAACCTGGAGAAGCTGTGGGCAAAGAACCTTTGCAAGGGTATATCCAGATACCTAGAAAACAGATTTTAAAAGACATCATCAGTAATAATACTACAGTTCTGACTCATGCTCTGAGCAAACAGTTACCAAAGAGTTTCAGATGTTCCCATCCCCCCAGCTGCTTGTTACCTTTCCGCTCCAGGGAACATTTGTGCCGGGATCCATGCCCACGCCTGCCTGCTGCAGCTCAGGGCTGAGCCCTTTGGGGCTGGGGCAGGTGAGGTGCCAGGATGGGTCCATCACAAATAGATACAGCACTAGCTCTTGAACATCACCAGGAGATGCAACCATGGAATTAAGGAGTCCCTGGCATTGCTGGTGGAAGGCAGGTAGGCTTACGAGGAGGCTACTTTCATACAATCATTGAATATCCAGAGTTGGAAGGGACCCACAAGGATCATCGAGTCCCACTCCTAGCTCTACACAGGACCACCTAACAATTAAACCATAATAGTAACACAGAATAAAGCTCAGTAGTTCTTGCCTTGCTTTTTGTATGTGTTCCCTAAAGTGTAAGCAGCTGGTCGTGGTTATGGCTGGGTTCCTGGGAGGGGTGTGTGGGGCTGATGCAGGGTAGCTGGTCTTACAAGCAAAGCACAAAGGGGCCTCACCACCACAGAAATTGAGAGGAATGATGGTGGGTGGCTCTCGGCTGCTGTCACATGGGCATCACCAGCCATGGTTCTTGTACAAAAGCCTCAGCAGCTTCTTTTATTGCAGATAGGTTTTGTCTTAGAATCATAGACTCGGAATGGTTTGGGTTGGAAGAAACCCTTAAGGAGCATCTAACTTCAACCCCCCTGCCATGGGCAGGGAAACCTCCCACCAGACCAGGTGCTGAAAGCCCCATCCAGCCTGGCCTTGAACACCTCCAGGGATGGGGCATCCACAGCTTCTATGGGCAGCCTGTGCCAGTGCCTCACCACCCTCACTGTGAAGAATTTCTCCCTTATATCTAAACAGTTTTACTCCCTTAGAAACATTTCTCCCTTTCCTTTCAGGCACCCAACGGCCTTCCAGCTGTCGGCAGTTTCGTGTCTGCACCAGCCATGCCTCCTTATGCCACACCAGCCCAAGTCTCACCGTACATGACATACAGCGCGGCCCCCTCCGGCTACATGGCGGGCCACGGCTGGCAGCATGCCGGAGGCACACCACTCTCCCCGCACAGCTGCGACCTCCCCACCTCACTGGCTTTCAAGGGCATGCAGACAGCCAGGGAAGGCAGCCACTCAGTCACAGCCTCTGCTCTCTGATGCAGGAGCTGGTGTCCAGGACGAGCATCTCCGGCGCCTGGCTCATGGACTGCTCTCCTCGTGCTGGCGGTACCGGGCATTTCTCCTCCTGACTTGCATCCCATTGGACTTTCGGGATTGAAAGAGTTGAAGGCAACACCACAAACAGAGGGGAGTGTGCTGACGTCCTTGCACTCTCCGAGTAAAGATCTTGTGTCCCTCAAAGGGCTCGTGGAAACTTGTCTGACTGTTCTCTGGTCAAACCACACGTATTTATTCTTAATCACCACAGACTTGTTAAATGTGCAATTGTTATTAAGATTTGTGTAGAAATCAATAAAGAAAAATCATCACAGGAAATTCTGCTATGCCTCAAATCAGCAATGGTGGCTTAATAGAAGGTATTTGCCAAAGACCTGTCTTTAGAGAACAAACCTCCTTATTGATGAGGTTATGCAATCCACTGCTATTAAGAGATCACATTTTTTGTTGTTTTGTTGAGTTTTGGTAATCAAATATAGAACCAAGGCAATGTGCAGCTCTCAGATTCTTCTGGCATTTCATCATCAGTGGCAGTAATACATTAGTACTTTTATCCATTTGTAAATATAGGCTTTTGACAGCATTTGTTTTCACTTCCCAGTACATTTACTTTTTTTTTTCTTTCTTTTTTTTTTTTTTTCTTTCTTTCTTGGAAGTTAAAAAGGTGACTTTCTAGCTATTTTCTGTGTCTTTGTGTGGTGGGGTGATAGCCTCAGGTGATGAAGTTTAGGTAAGTTTTTTTCATCATGTTTTTGTGTGAGGTTTCAGCATCTTATGAAATACAGTTATTTCTTTAGCAGAAGATTCAAAGGCAAAAATCCAGTCAATAAACACTCCCCAGTTGCACCCAGCCTCCCATGTTCATGAAATACTACATCCATGTTAAGTACAGAAACAGAAATGGGTGGAAAATATCTGAACAAAACTGAATTCTGAAGAGAAAAAAATGCTGTTAGTGTGAAATGTGCAAGGATGCTTACAAAGCCATGTAAGTTAGCAAAACCACTGTGAAACAGAATCATACTGTCATTGTCAGCTCACTTGTGTTCAGCATTTTTGGCCCCAGGATTATGGTTTTTTTTTTTTTTTTTTTTTTTTTTTAATTTAAGAAGTTGTCTTTAATTTCTGCTTTAATGATTGTAAAATATGGCTCTTGGTAAAGTTTACAATGTTGTTCTGAATCATTTTTTTTCCCTTGTAGGTATAATGGTGGTGGTGCTACAAACACAGATATTATTTAATATTAACAAGTTCCCTTTCTAGATTTCTGTATCCAGTGGCAAGTACTCTGTCCCAGTTACCTTGCTTTAAACCTTCTTAACTTCTATCCCAAGAGAGCTAACATTCTGATCTTCGAAAATTTACCTGTTTTCCTTGGGCAATAATAAAGTTCTGAATATTATTCCAGAATGCTTTCCACATGCTGTAGGTATGTTCAGAATATGAACATGGAAAAAAATATTAAGATTGGTGTGAGATGTCATATCCTTCATAGAATGTTAATATATTGTGTATTTTTATAAATGTTGTGCAATAGCTTGAATTACAGCAAAGATGGTTAAAACAAAGGAGAAAACGTCATTCTTCAAATATTGCTCTATCTACATACAATATTAAACATTCATTCAGTGGTAAGGTAAACTACAGTCCTCTCTTAAAATACATTCCTCTCTTTGTAGATTTCCAGGTTTCATCACTAGACAACAGTGGGCAAATTTTCCTAACAATAGAAGTAATCAGTACAAATGTTGTGTACAGTAAATCCACTGAAATACAGGTGGAATCCACTTATTGCAGCCATCCTTGCTTTTTGCTTTAAAAAATAGTCAACTGAACAGTATTTCTGTAAAGAACACAGGTATTGTATTATGGCCAAAAGGAAAGAAAGATCTGATCTTGAATGTGATCCCATACTCTCAGGCCTCAGTACAGGAAAGGAATTCTACAGCTGGTTAGCTTTAGTGAGATGCTTAAGCCATTGCTATTCAGTAGAACACTTTTTAAAAGACTGTTTGCTGGAAACCACTACTTGCAATGAAATTTGCACACAAGTATATTTCCACACTGCCATACTATTAGTAAGGTGACTGATCCTATTCTGTTTTTACAAGTTGAAATAAGATAAAAGTTTATGCAGCCTTAACACCATGAAAAAGAAATTGGTTTAACTGTAGACTGTCTCTTCACTAAAAATAAAATAGGACTTAAAGACAAAAAAAAAAAAAGGAAAAGATCATGAGCCAATAACCGATTTAGTTGACAATAGAATTTTAGCTTTCAACCTTTTCTTTCCTGGACAATGGAATTATTGATAAAGTCTACCTATTGTTACCCATGCAACACAGACAATATACATCTAAAGAAAAAGTGATAAAAAGATAAAAGACAAGCAGCCTTCCAAAGCACAGATTTTTGAGCTCCAAGGATTCACAAACCTGGAATGAAGTGCACCTATGTTAAAATTTTTCCATATTTTTCAGTGCAACAAGGAAATTTCTGGGATATGTCTTCTTATCAGAGATTCCCATGAGGCATTATTGTGTTTTGGAAGATAGAAGAACAGTTCCTCAGCTTGTATGAGTTGCTTGAATTATCTTGTCTTCATCTTAATTGGGATAATTTTTTAAAGCCAGGACAAGACATTTTATTAATTAATCTTCATCTGTGAACACACACACACACACACACACACCATCATTAACTATGTTTTTTTCTGTTTGCTTGTTTCAGTACAGTTTATGCTTCATGCATTTGCCTGTTGTAAATACCACCTTATACCTGTGTGGAAAGTCAGTAGGACTGCATGCAGGAAGTGTCGCTCAGGATGAGCAAAGGTGCCTGACCTGGGCCCTTGGTGACTGGCTTTTTTTTGGTCAGATTTCATAACTATTTTTTTAATGTAAACCTATGATGCACAATATTTCTTTGCCCAAGGACTCTTCTTACTGCTTATACTCATGGGTAAACTGAAAACCACAGCATGTTAGCTTATTAGCCATACAAGTTTAAGCTACTTTACAATAAACAAAGGAAAAAAAGATAAATTGTTTTTCAAGTAATAAATAGAAGTCATCTGCTGTTGTAAAAAACAGGGGTATAAATCTGGAATGAACTCACTCAGCTGAATGGGTTAATCTGGGAGATGTGCAGTATACATGAGTGCAGAATTTAAGTTTTTAGTACAAAAAGCCTAGACTCCATTCCTAGAGCATTAAATGTTTTCAAATAAATCAGTGAAGCCTAATACTCCCTTTTGTGACAGCCCCACAGTGTTTGCATGATCCTGGTGTAAAATTGATTCTGACCTCATATTACACCAGGAGCAATGGTGGATTGGCCTGGAAGAGACATAAAAAAGGCACATTCATTGGTTTATTTTCTAAAACAATGCTGTGTTTTCTACTTTCTAATGGTTCTCTTTTTATCAAGGATCAGGCTGAGATATTAACTGAAAAAAATCACGTTGGAAAGGATGTAAACCCGAAGGCTATATATGTATATACAGTATGTCTAAAGTCTTTTATTTTTATATTTTGAATGCCCTAAATTAATAAAAGACTAATTATGAAGCATTTTGCTTTTCACTTTCAAAATGATCTTAGTAGTGTCTTCTCTTTTGCTAAGTACTGATAATTAAGTGTAACAATGAACATTTTCCTTAAAATTACAAACTGCAATACAGCTAATTTAATTGATTTTATATATGAAGTAGAATAGGTATGAGAAATCGCTGTTGTCAAATTTAGACAAAAGAGAGGTTAACTGAGCATGTCAGTACAAGCATCCTTGAAAGTGCTGAAAATGCATGTCTATTTTTAGCTATTTGTTACTTTTTAATGCATTAAAAAAACATTAATGAAACGAGACTTTACATGTGAACTGTCATTTTAAAGTAACAATCTGGAAAGATATTTCTTTAGGATTGAACCTCCATAAGAGGAAGAGCATTTAAAGTGTGAATACAGTATGTAGTAATACAGAAACTTTCAGCAAGTGCAAGATATGCATTCATTTGACAACAAGCCTTTATATAAAGGGAACATTTTCATGACAGAATACTGCATAATTTTAAGTTATTTAAAGAGTTCTTGAGAACTCTGTTCAAGAAGAAACTGTCAAGTGGTATGAAATGAAACTGTCTTCAATTAGCATAACAGAAAAATATTTCACAGAGGTGGTTAGAATGGCTAATAAAGATAGGAGTACCTCACTGAATATAAATATAGTGATATTTACAGTGATAAGGAAAAGCAATAATTTTAGCTGTACTGCAATAATTTTTATCTATAGGAAGGCACATTGCTTTGAGATGTATGGTTAGTTAATTAAGATCACATATTTGCTGTCAGTCTAGAACACTGTTTCTCCCCCCCACAGTAGTGAAAACAGCCAAAAGGGGTAATCAAGGTGCATTTTTCTGATAGGACATCTTCTTAAGCAATAGTGAAGGTGGACAAAAATTCACAGTAAGATCTTACATGCCTAAAATATTTTTTTTCTGTTAATTTATTTACTTATTTCTTCTATGATTCCCACAGTTGCTTCGCACACCGGAATGTAACTTTATTCAGACCAATTATGTTCACTATCGTCTATGACCTAAGTGAGATTTATATGATATATACAGCTATGAACAGGCAGGACATTTAACAACATGAGTCTTTCTAAGGTTGTAGCTAGTCCTGCTGTTCTTTTTCTGTCCCAACTCCCAACTACTTAAGAAACTCTTCTGTCACTGCTGAAATCATACTGGGCTGAATGGAAATGGCACCCAAACTAGACACAAGTCTTTTTAGAATTCAGGTCAGTTTTTAGGTTTTGGTAACCTGGAGTAAATGGAGCTGTCAATTTACTCTATCTTAGTATCTGGTCCCAACCAATTATTACAGTTTTCTTCTTCAAAACACTCTGAAAGTCATTATTTTGCCATTCCAGCTGTAATTTTGAAAAAAATAATGTATTGACTACATAGCATAATTCAAGGTCCACGATTTTCAGTTTGTCTTTGAAAAATTATCTTGTTCCTATGTCTCCTTTATATATGTCTCCTTTATATTTTCTCTTGATACAGAAAAAGAAATTACAAATACCAATTCTGTTATTTACTTATGCACTTACAGGAAAGCATATGCTTAAATATTTTTTTTGATCAAGAACTGAAGACCAAATCTGTTTTGAGCTGTAATAACATCAGTATAATCTGATGGCATTCAAAACTATAATGATAAGAATCACTTTGACTTTATTAAAAACTATTTTAGAATGCATATAGTTTTAAAAAGTACATTTTTCAGAAGCACTACTTGGAGTCAATTGTGTCCTGAAGCCATGCATAAACGTATTCATAAACCAAAAGCATCACTGCGCCACCTGGAAGAAAAGATATTATTTACTACATACAAAATTAAATATTTTCCAGATTTTGTAGAGTTTGTAATGTGTAGTATAAGACAGAATATAGCAAAGCCTTACTTGCAAAACAGTTATTTCTAACTACTTCCCTAATTCATTAAAATCATCAATTCTTGAACCACATCTATTTTTCTTGATATTAGACCATAAAGTTGATGTGAAAAGCTTCTATATTAAATCAAAATTACCCTCAGTGTATTTCAGATATTTTTCTTCACATTTTTGCAAGATTCATTTGTGTTTGTTCTTTTACAAGTGAATCTTTTTATCTGTGAACACGTGTATATTTGTGGGTTAGTTTAGAGCTAGATTTGGCCATGAAAGAACAACTTGAGTGATGGCATGACAAAAATTCATCACCAGGGTTATGAAAATACTTCCAGGTAAGATTCACAAAAGGTTTTATGCTGTTTGTTTACCACATATAAATTAGAAGACCATGGTATTAAAATGAATATAATCTTATTGTGACTGTACCTAGCTATGAATTCACTGTCAAAGTTTTGATTTGATGAAGCGGCGTTATCTGCTAGAACTGATAACAGTACAGAATCTCAGCTTGAATGCAATATAGGAGGTTTACTCTTAGAGAGCCAGACTAAAGCCCTTCTGTAGCTGAGCTGTAACAATTATTTGAGCTGAAGAAGGGAACATTTCAGAAGATGTATATATAACTAAGCATATATAGAGAGACTGCTAGTTGGAGAAGATGAAAATGAGAATCAGCTTCTAGGCTGCAGGAACAAAAGTGTGTTATACTGGACTCCTGGTGGGTGCGAGCATTGGGGCACAACTATTTTCTTTCTTTTGCCTTTGCCTGCTGGCTTGCTGAGCAGGTTACAGTTACCTCTGAAAAATAAGTTCTGCTGAACTGGTCTGACCTTTCTACGTGGATGGGATAGGCTCAGACAACCAGGCACACAGAGCTACCACATGTTTTCCCAGTTATTTATCCTAATGAACCATGATCAGACTTGAAATGCTATGTGAACAGCAACTCCCAGCTAGCTAGACAGAGCAAAAGTTTGCAAAAGGCTTTGACCAACAAACAAATTATAGACACAATGTCTAGAAGATGTGATTTGGACTCAAATCAGGGCTGCTTCCAGTTCTTATAATGTGTGATGTTTGTGTATCTCTTTTCCTGAAAGCATTCACATGTTGAAAGAAGGAATTACCTTTCCAGTCACAATAAAGATTACCTTATTGTTTCACCAGAAATCCAAATCTACTTATTAGTCAATGGAACTATAAATAAAGTGTTTAAAATGAAGCACACACTTAACTGATTTGCTGGATCTGAGCCAGAATGCAATGTCACTTTTAAGATGAAAAGTTTTATTCTAAAGTCAGCTTTGCTAACGGGTACTGGGAAAGTGAAGCCCTGCCTGCTCTTTGTCCTGTATGTAATTTAGTAGCTTCAGAGCATGAGGGAAAAGGCTTTTAGCTCCAGAGTTATGCCTACCTGCCTTGCTTCCCCTCCCCACCTACTTCCTTTACACTGCACAATAACCAGGCATGGTCTAGCACTTAGTCAGAAGGACTGGATATGCAAACATTTGCAGACAAACCTAATGCCTCCTTTATGCTTCAGAGCAGACTCTGTACCTACTTGCTTTTAACCATGTGTGCTCTTGCCTATTAAACCACCTTGCACAATTGGATCTACAATTTCATGGGAATGGCATACTGTTCAAACTGGGGCTTCTGCTCTTTTTGACACAGACTGCCTCTCTGGGCTGGCAAAGTCTAAGGGCCTGTTGATTTGATTTCATCATTAATCAAAAGCAGCCTAAGAAAAATAGTCTAGATGTCAAAGAAGATCTAGCCTTCAGCCACCGTGTTCCATTTGGAGTAACAACTGGTGAGAAGGGGTCAATCAACAAACCTTGTCCTCTTAGTGCTGTGTAATGGGAGGAATCCCAGCCCATGCTGTCGACCTTTTAGGGTTTGTTCCTTACAAACCAAGCAGAGCACAGGAAGTAGAAAGTAAATGGAATGTGATATGCTTGGGCTCAACTAGTTGAGGGCATTTATACTGAAAAGACTCTAGCCTGTGTTTTAAGGTGACTTTACATTGGTACAGAATAGACCTAGTGAAAGCAAAACATCACATTAGAGGGAATAGGATAAGCTTTAATAAACACTTCAAAAGGTTTCACAGCTCTGGCACTTGCATGAATGCACTTTGGCTTGTTCACAAATAATTTCACAAACTAGCAGTTACTTGGATCTGTGATCATCCCATCTGCATGTGTAAACGATTTTTTTAGACACATATTTAGACCAAAAGAAATCATTCAAAGATGAAAGAGATTTTGATGATTTCTGGTTCAGTGTCTCATTTATTTGTTTGATGCTTACTATATTTTGTCAAGAAATTGAAAAACAGGAAAACAAAGTAAGAACAAAAACAATATAGAAATGAGAGGAAAAATTACCTGGACCAAGTCTCATGATCTTGGGAACCAAGCCTTTGTACAGAGCCAGAAATCTGCAGCAGAAGAAAAACAAACAAAGCGTTTCAAACAATATTCTTGCTGTAAAAGAAGAATGGAATTTTAGCATGTGTTTGTTAAAATGCTGGCAGAGCACTTAGAAGCAATTATTTGAAATTACACATGTTCAATAGCAGGCAGTATCTGGATTTTAACATTTTACAGAGGCAGATCAGATGAAGAGAAAAAGTTAATCAATGTTCAGTCACAAAAGCTACGTTGTGAGTCCAGCCAATCAGAAATATGACTTTAATCAGTGAGATGGTTTTACTTTCAAGACAACTCTGTTAACAACAGCTGCATACATGGACAAAATGACTGCTATAATTGAATATCAAAGCTACAACTCAGTCCTCACTTGAGAAATATTTTAAAAAGTTGGAAAAAGTTACTGCCACAAGGATCTGTCCCCAGTTCAATTATTTCAGCAGTCATTTTAAAAGTGCAGAGGTCTAATTACAAGTAAAGTTAAACTGGGCAATACTGTATTTTGTGTTGATATTTTCCTTTTACAAAATGAAGAGTTGACAAAATTACATGAGATGTACAAAGCATTTATGTGTTGAACACAGATTTTGACAACCTACTAATCATCTTGTAAGCCTTATGTGAAAGTTCACATGAAATAGGAAGACATTTCATTGTAATTCTAAAATACATTTTTAAAATGTTATATCGTGCTCTTTTGATACATGAGTTCAGGGTGGCTTAACGGTCCTTGTGAAATCTGAAATATAACAACATGGTTTTATGGACCCATATGAACTAAAACAGAGGTCTGGACATTTATTAAAATACAAATGTTTTACCCTTCCTCTTTATAGACTGTTGCCATAGTTTTAAAACAGGTTCTGTACTTGATCTCTCCAGGAACTGGCTGTGGTCCTTGAATCCTACTTTTTGCAACATCAAAAGGAATGTTAATAATTGAGGCTATTGTTCCTGAGACTAGCCCAATTCCAAATTTCCTTAAAAACTCCAAATTTGGATCCTAAAAAAGAGAGAGAGAGAGAGAGAAGAATAAAAAGGGAAAGAATAAAAAGGGAAACGGAAGGACCTATGCAGGTTAAACACTATAAAGTAATATGCATTTAATCAGAAAACTCACACAACACAACACACTCATGTTATTTTAGCGGAACACATTAGGATTTCCTATGCTGGAACTTGTTTTCTTGACAATCCTATTGGCTATGTTTTTACACATGGTCTAAATTGCTGAAGTACACATTTCCTCACACAGGATTTATAAACACAGTTCATAAAGAAAGACTGGTATGGCATATGGGGATGATTTGTATAATTGGGCTTCACAATGTACTTAGTATTACTGTATCAAAACAGGAGAAATCCAAGCACACTATTAGCTAATTGGCCAGAATATTTTACAAATGACAGCAACTTCCACCATGAAGCCTACTAAAATGCTCATTTGTGTGTTGGACCCCCAAATGCTAAATTAAATAAAGGCTAATCTCAGTCTGCTGCCATTCCCCTCCAGGTTTTTTACATTTATTTTCACATGTAGCTGATCCACTGTACTGAGAAGTGCTAGCTTCCTGTTATTAACAATCCAGCTCGGCACAACGGCAAGAGAGCCTCCACGTTCTGTGCATTATAAACGGTGGTAACTCACTCAGCTAATTGGCTGAAGAATTCACAACAGATTGCTTCTGAACCCTACTATATGTTCAGGGTGAGAGTTAGAAGCAGGTTAGAAGTGCATCTAAAAACTTTTTCACTCACTCCCCGTTCACAGTCTGACTGGGTTTTATTTGATCTTACAGAAAGACCTCCTACCTTGGCATTTTCTGTGACATCAAAGAATTTAAAGTTTTCTGAAAGTCAAAATCTCTTGTATCAAGTCTCTTTGTATTTCTACAAGTAATGGAAACCACTGGAAAGTGTGTCCCCATGTCTTGCCTATGCACATAGTTTTTTTTTTTTTTTTTCTTTTGCTATTGGTGTTCAGCAGAAATTACCCTTTTTTTTTTTTTTTTTTGCTATATAAAACTCTATATATGCAGTTCCATTTTTTTTATGAGGTCACTTTAATTATAGAAAGCTGTCAGTAAAATAATAGATGATCTTGTCGTGTCATAGTGTCAGTACAATATTCAAATGAAAGAGCTCTGTGTGTTCTAAACCTTTACATTTTTGAGTGAAAAAAAAGAACAATGAAGAAGGTCTCCTTTACAGATTAACAACAAGGAACATAAGTTAAAGCCTCCATAATATGCATTGGATGAAATCCATGCAGGTGTTTGGAGAGAAATGTCAAAATCAACAGAGCATTTTATTACTTGCAGAAAAACTCAACACCTTGATTTCACAAAACATGAAACACACTGATAATACCTTTTAATAATTAAAATGGCTTGTGATACATAAAGAATTGTACAACTTTATCAATAAAAAGCTTAGCAGAAAATTTCTGTTTATTTTGTACATAGTGGCACTTGTTTAAATGGAAATAAAATAAAGCTGACTTTTCTGGTACCCAGAGAGGAAAGAAAAAAAAAGCAAAACTTTTGAAAGCCAGGTGCAGCAGTGCGCCAGCCCCTTTCCAGTGTGGTACCCACGCCGCTCTGAGCATCAGCTGTATGATCACACCTGGCACTAAGGTTGCATTCACCTCCTCAAACCAGGCAGCATTGAGGAGGCTGCCATTGCCAAGTTGACTTATCGTAGTCTAGAATGATCTGAAATATCTTATTCAAGCATAGGGACACCTCTTCAGTAGTGCCGAGTACAGTGGGCTGCCCTCTGGGCTAGGCAATACATGTCAGGCAAAAGTATTATTTTTTCAACATGGAATTTCAAGCATTGCTGCTTCTGGCAAATCCCTTATATTTGAGCATTTTCATATTTTGTTGAATTCTCAATGCCAGCATTGCCTGCTTTGTGACTGGCAGTGTCACAGGGTATGGGATACGGTGGAGTGTCCAGTCAAGTGAGTTTCTTTTGAAACCTGATACTGCACCACTGTAACTAAAGGAGAACGAAAACAAATTGCTTTATTTCTATTCCAGTATTTGTGAGATAGAAAAAGCTGGAAGGGATTTTGAGTATTCACAAAACTGGATAATAACCTAATGTGCTATGATTTACACTAGCTTTCATAATTTTTTATGACATCTCATGAGAAAGGTTTTCTATGACATTCATCACTGGCATTCACACATCATTCAGATTACTTCATTCATATAACAGATTCCAAATAAATTTAGCTGTTAAAATAATTTAAAAGTTTTTTTTTTTTTTTTTTCCTAAAAGCACAGAGTAGTTGCTTTTTTATGTGCTACCACTTTCAAGTGTAAAAAAAAACAAAAACAAAACACTTCCAAATATACTTTATAGCTTCTGTCTACAAAGCTTACATGGACAAAAGAACATCAGCTGTCCATCATGTAGGTGCAAGCTGGTGCAATCATGAAACACTATCTTTCTTTTTACACTAAAATCAACCCTTTTCCTATCCCATTGTCAGATTCCAAAATATTCCCAGCAGTCTAGGACCCTGTGAAAGGAGACATGAGGTAAAGGTAAATGTATCTGCTTAGCACTATCACTGCAACTGGCTAGCAGAAGTGATTATCATCATGGTATTGTCACTAACTTCTGCAACATGCAGTTTACCAACTATTGACTATTAAATATTTGGTACATTAAAGAAAAATATTCTGACAATCTTCCCTTGCTTTTATAAGTGACAGAACTAGAGGAAAAAATATATAATTTTGTTTTTAGGCAAAAGTAATTTTTCTGTAGTATGAGTAGAATATGAAGTACAACAGAAACATGATTTTAGATGGTGACACACCACAGTACAGTATACCTCATGAAAATGAACAGCCAGCTTTTTCCTAATGGAACAACTTTGCTGTGGTTGGATAATGTAATCTCTGATCCTCTTACCTTTTTAGCATGTCCTTCACAATCACATTTCCTATACACTTGAGTCCTTGCCCTGTGAGCATAACCAGCCCTCAAAAATAGAGAAGTAGGCATCACTAATAAATGCCATATCTATGCGTGTCTCGCTGCATTTCCCTACTTTGTTTGGAAGAAGAAATTTTGAGATATTATATCTCTGCTTTTTATATTTCATTACTCCTATTATAACACTTTGAAATAAGTGGAGACTTTGTAAGTTTAAATCTTAAATCACATGCTGCTTAATTCTTTCTTTTATATTCCATTATTTCTAGCAACAGAAAATTTTAACCCTAAATCTATCACATACACACCCATGTACAGGATTGTCACCCACTGGAGATACTTTTAATTTATCAGTTTCGTTTTCCAAATCCACAGGCTTTCCTTTCCATACCTCTTTATTGGCTTGTTTATCAGCTAGGCACTTTGTCAAAACCTGTTTAAATCTTTGATCTCAGTCAGAAGCTTCCACACTATATTAATCTATTCTGAAAGAAGGCCACTTAATTCAATAAGTAACATAGGTAATAATCCAGCAATGAAATAACCATTTGGTAAAGGCATGTACGCTTGGAACTCAGTTGATTTAGCCCACTGGTAGGGTCACCACGAATCCAAGTGCATTCATTATTGATGGAGAGCACGACCAGAATGCTGATCCATGGCTCCTGACTAGAGTAACAGAAAAATCATAGAATAGACAATGGTGCACCCTAGTCGATACATTTGTGCTGATTTAGACACCCATCTTGGGTGCTATGCAAAAGATCAAGGGTGGAACACCCCACTCACTATATATAGTGCAGAGAAGTAGGTACCTTCAAAGGAACAGCTCAAAGTACCTAAAGTATATTGCTTGTGGTAACCAGAGACAGATAATGTGAACAGTCCAGTGGCATGCATAAAAGTGTTGAGAAATCTGAACAGGAAAGACACTCAAGAACACTACTCATTTTGTCCTTGTCCTCCTACAAATGAAGTCCCTGTACAGTCTCAGTAAAGGTGGCAGAATGTATCTCAAATAAATGTATATTTTAACCTCATTTTAAAGAAAAAAAAAAACAAAAAACAAATAAACAAACAAACCAAACACAAAAAAAACACAACAAAACAAAACCCCACAATAATATAAGAAAAGTAACTGTGAGTTTGCCTATCTGAAGCTGTTTGTCTTGAGATCCTTTCACATTTTTTTTTTTTATATATATATATGTTGCTGAAGGTATATATTTTATGAGAAAGAATACTTCTGTAAACATGTTTTAGTATTTTGGGGCACCTCACAGATAGATAAATTCATTATAAAAGAATAGGGTTTTTTAAGTAAGGAGAATGTTATTTGCTGACAATTTGTTTGAAGAATAAATAATATCTATGGAATAATATTTTAAGCTATTTTTGCAAAGCAGTCTACAGGACTTAGCTTGAAACTAATACTGACTTTGAGCAGAGTATTTGCGTCAAGTTTCTTAACCTTTGAAAACGTTAGCCATAACATTAGTTTTATACAAATATATTTATATTAGTAATATAATATATAATAGTATATATATATAATATATGAATATAACATAACATAACATAACATAACATAATATAATATATTTATCCAAGTTACATTTGGCACAAAAGATTAAAGCAATTTGAAATGATATTGTTAAATCTAAATACATTTTCTCAAAGTCACATAATAGGTCAATGCAGAAGCCAGGAACAGAGCTGATAGGCTTTGCACTATATGCGGCACATCTAACTCCCTGCATGTAACAAGGAAGACTTTAAAAGACAGAAGGCTGTGGTTTTGCCAATTCTTGTTCTGCCTGGTACACCCAGGAATTATGTGTCTGAAGAGACATAAGGAGTAGAGTTGCTGCTTGATCATTTTGGCTAGGCTGAAGTGCAATAAGCATAGGAATTCCTATGGCAAGCTAAGAGGTTTCACAGCACTTTACTTGGGCTACATTAACTACAATTAAGTTTTTAGCAACAAAACAGGCTGTAAGGAACTGCTCTAGCCACTCTGGTAACTGGTTTTAACCACTGAAAAGAGCT